ATTGAACGGTTCTGGTAAGTTGGAAAGAGCAACAGAGAGCTTTAAATAATAAATACATAAATTGCATTATATTATAATAAAGACTAGTCATTAACAAGAAGTCAAAGAGCCTCATTTCTCTATACCCAAGATATATATATATATATATATATATATATATATATATATTAGAGAGAGAGAGAGAGAGAGCCAACGAGAGACAAAAAAATAGAGACAGAGCACATGAAAGAGAGAGGAAGAAAGATACCTGCAAAACCCTAAACATCGAAGATCGCAGCCTAGATTTTTTTGAATTTCGAATTATACTTCAATTGTATGAGCAAAAGAATTGTATTTCTCAGTATGTATATTTGATTCGAAGCATTTAAGCCAAATTTCCTTTGTTTCCTATTTTCCTTTTATTTTTTTGGTAATCCAGTTAGGTGTCGTCTCCTTGGAAAAAAATGTTCAGTACGCAGAGCGCACTTGAGCATTCAACCTAGACCTATTTCCCCTATTTTCGTATTTTTTTTTGGCTTTTTTCGCAAGAAACAGTTCTGAATTGTTACGTAACAGGTCGTTACAGCCGTACGGACAGTACAGCCGCTACAATAGCCGTTACAACAGCGCTATGGCCAACAACACCTGTGAATCTTAATCACACTACAAAAGCGGAGTAATGCACAGTGCCTACGGTCGCACCATTACGTAACACCGCATTTTGAAATCTTGACAAGTTCAGATCCTGTAAATTTGGAGGGTGACAAGTGCCTTCTCTCACTCGTAATGCCTTGTTGCTCTACTTTCACTACCGTACTACCCTCTTTAAGAAATAGCTCTAGCCTTCACTGCCAAGCATCACCCTCTCAAATTTGGCTCCACTCCTCACCATTGTCATATCTCATTCTTTGTGCCTCCCTTCTCCTTTGGTCGTCTTTCTCCCTCTTCCATTTCCCTTCCTCTACACCTGTACAAATGCTTTTGTGGTTACTTGCTTTTGGATTTGGTTTTACAGATTGTTTGTGAAGGAAATAGGATGATTAATAAGTAGCGTAAGGTAGGGATGTGATGGAGTATAGGTTAGGGCAAGTGTATAGGTTTAGGAAAGGGGTACCGTGGTGGAAAAAGGAAAATGATGTCAATGATACTGGTGTAAGAGGTGGATAGGTTTTGGTAGGAGTCGTGGTGGTGAAGGTTGTTAATGAAGATAAAAGACTAATTTATCTTTTGTTTAGTTAGTTTAGTTAATATAGTAGATGAATTTTTGGATGTTACCATTTAAAAGTCAGGTTTAAATTGAAACAATTAGAAATTCTGGATTGATTTATTACAATGGTCAAATCTTGGATTTTTTTTTTTTTTTTGTAATTTCTTTACAAATTTAAAAGACAAAAAAATGAAGAAATAGAAATCACCAAAACACAAAAAAAGTTGTTTTAATAAACATTTTTTAGATATTTTCAAAATGCTTATTATGATCCTTAAAACTAGAAGGATCTTAAAAACAAAAATATCTACAACAAAATTTTAAAAATTTCACGTAAGACAATTTTTTTATTTTTTTTTAATTTAAAATGACCTTTTTTAATCTTGCTACATACCACATTTTTTTTCTACCTGTACTAACCACGCCTTTCCGCACACCTACACGTCGGATTTTTGACCCTTTTTTAATAAATGAAAGAATCGTCACTTATCTCTTGCTGGGAAACCTAAGAACTATTGACTCCGAACAATTTGGATACTAATCGTCCACATACAAGGACTTGGTTCAAGAGTTTAGGACGAAAGATGAAGGTCACTGATTGGAGCACTTTCACCCAATCAATTGATTGCCTCTACTAGTCTTTATTTTGTGAGATATAGAAATTATTTGACTTTCATGAACTCAATTACTGTAAATCCTTTAAACTAAACTACCCATCTTGAGATTGAATAAAGGGAAACATCACTTTAATTGGAAATATAACATTCGTATTTGCCAAGATTTGGGTTTCAAAATAGATTTAGGAAAATTGAATGTTTCACCAAAAATAATAGACTTTCTTTCACAAAATGGATTTAGGAAACTTTCCATAATGGAGAAGCATCTAAAACCAAAACATTTGTTTCCAAAAATGGACTTAGCAAATATGGCGATGAAACACTCCAATTCAAGCAATCTCAAAACCATGCAAAACAAACATAGATATAGCATACTCGCATCAAAACTTGAATCATTGAAGATGATGCCAAAAGCTAGCAATATAGAATGAAGGAAGAACTTACGGTACTCCTCAGCACCACGCCATAAGAAATATGCATATGATTAAAATACATGACCTAAAACATGGTATCTAATGTACAAATACACATATGAAACCTAAAGCCCGAGTAGGTAGCTATATGATAAATACGCATCAAAATAGATTTAACACATAAAACATATTTAATTTGGGGGGGGGGGGGGAACACGACAGTAGAATCATTTATATCGCGATGAATTGACCAAGTCAATTATGCATGAAATGTGATGTAAACAACCTAGAACAACTATACAACGCAAACATACATTAAAACTAACAAAATAGTTAATAGAAAATTTAATCTAACTAATATTCACAATATGATTAGCTGGAAATATACTAACATTTACAAACACATAAATCACTGAAAATAAAAGGAACAAAGAGGAAGTACCTTACGTTTGATAAACAAACCGAGAACGCAAGCAAAGCAAAGACAGGCATTGTTTGAAATGCTTGCTCTTAAGTTTGTGATGTGTTTGGCGTCACTTGTTTTGGACCTTCGAGTATGATTGAGCACTGTTTAGATGCCATTCTGTATGTGTTGAGTGATATATTTTCGGAGCTTAGAATATAGGGGATGTAATTGGGCAAGGGGCTTATTGATGTATAAGTTCTCTCTAAATAAAGAGGAGGTGGGGGTACTGTAGGATCCCATTT